GGCAACATTGACAACAATTACTTTGAACTTTGCATGAAGTTCGTGCGAAAAGCTCGAGCGAAAACATCTCAGTTCTGAATGTCAGCAACTGGCGCGGGCGACCGCTGCAGTGTCCACGACCAACACAACAGCATCAGCACGCGTGAAGTTCTTGACATTAAAATAAGAGAACGCGCGGGAGTTACTATATAACTATATACTTACATACATATATACTTAGTCATATGGCACATATAGGCAAGTCACTCATCTATTTATTTTCCATTTTATTTGAAACATTATATGGAACAGAAATATAGCACGTGTGATTGACTACGCAAGATATAGTCACTTGAAAATGGTTATGTGGTTTCCTATCTGCAACATATCCACAAGTGGAATTTTCATTTGTGTTTATAATTTTTTCTGCTGCAGTCAACAGATTTGTCACAGTCGATAAAAAATTAAGTGATAAAATTTTGATGACACGATTTTGTGCCGTTTCGAATATTCTCGCCCCGTTGTAAGTTTCATCGTAGGCAGTAGAGAACTTCATTAACGCTTTACGAACTGCATCTTCAGATTCTGAGAAGTTTTGTCTTTCCTTGATGGATTTTTGTTTACTTTTATATACATTTGTTTATTTATTTAATGATATTTAACTGATCATCGACGCCTGTGGCTTGTACTCCCGTTTCAATACTGTCTATGATTAAGTAATTAATCATAAGGAACGCTTGGCACTCTTGAGATCATATTTGGTGAAATAAACATTTTGAAATGATTTCGTTATATCTGATATCGTTATAGTTTTCTACATACAGGAACATACTTATTAGTTTTTTAATACAAAATTTCTTTAATAAAATCGTTTAAAATTCGCTACAGAGAAAGACAAATATTTACAATCCCTTCTTTATACATAACAAATGCAGAAGCTAGCGTTCACGCAGATATTTAGCATATAAATATTTATAAGCAAAAAAAGTTATATAAAATAAAAAAAAAAGATACAGAATAAGTTTTCATCGTTTTTATTTGCAAAATTTATTAATAAAAATAAATAAAATAAAATAAAATCAAATAAAATAAAAAAAAGAAACAGAATAAGTTTTCATCGTTTTTATTTGCAAAATTTATTATCCAATATTGAGTGTACTTTCGAAAACTAATGCCCTTTTTCCAGAAATCCAAATTAGTTTAAGTTTAAAAAGCAGAACTTTTTATTAAATTTCCAGGAATATTTTCAAATTAATATTTATGAGGAAGAAGTTGATAAATAAAATGATACTGCATAAATATTATATCGCTATAACATATCACAAAACTGACCGACCTATAATCCCCTTTGATATCCTCTTGCTTCGTGATATTCTACGTCACTGTCGCAATCTCATTATTTCTCAACCGAATGAGCTCCAAGAACCGTTGAGGATTGGATGGTTCGGCTGGAATTCAAGAAAATGCTCTAGATAGGCTAGGAATTTAATTTATATCTTAGCGATATAAATCAAGAGAATCCTGATGTATGCAGGCGATTATCTTCAAATGGCCCTGAAACTATCCACTATCGCGATAGGTTGGTTGCTTACCAAGAAAGTCCCATAGCACGTTGTCGAATAGATCCAAAAAATTATGCTCAATTAACCTTTACTTCTCAGATGTAATTGTGGCGTCTGCTTCATTTCCATAAATAACCACAATAATGATGAAGTCTTTCAGCAGCTGCCTAAAGGACTATGTTGTGGTGGGATTGCTAAGAAAATTGTTCATAGGTTGAAGTTGTACAAATACTATACTACACATGACCATATTCTCTTCATTAAGAACATAAACCATAGAATGAAATTACTTAAAAAAAATTCTACGACGACCTACCAACTACTTATTGAACGCGACCTATCCAGAAGTAGGTGTAGTAGCTGCAGAACACAATAAAACTCGATTGACTTTGGCTTGTCTTAATATTACTAACTAAAAATTGGCTGCTAGTATATTTATTAATTAGGTAGCTTATTTTATTAATTTTGTTTGTAAAATGTGATACTATACAATTACTTCTCTGAAGTAAACTTCAGTCAACTTTTTGTTGAATTGAGTACTTTAAAGTGAATTTTTATATTAACGCTAGGATAAGCCACAAACTAATAGATAAAATTATTGTTCTCCGATGTAAATATTAAAAGTTTTTAAATTGCTAAACATTTATTTCATGTCAGATACATAAATTTCCATTTTGTAGTTATTAAAAATAATAAACGTTATTAATTAAAATCCTTGTCACGTAATGCATACGAGTACACCAGCAGGTAGTAGCAAAATTTCGTGTAGTTTAATTAATATTGTCAAAACAAAATTTTATTCAAATAAGCGAATATGAGATAAATGCTTACACAGTTACATACTTACTTGTACTTATATATACACACACTTTGGAATCAGCTTACTGAACTGGTTCGGAAGTGGCTGCAAATCATTACAAGATAGTTAATGAGTACTTACTGACTACATGTTTCGCCATATGATGACAAATTTGATCATTAGTGTAAAGTTAACGACGTATTGAACATAAATAAGCGAATGGAGAGGAAATAAAACTATTATAATTTGTCCTTAACGGGACATCTGAAATTAGGTTCATATATATAGTAATATAGACAAAAGAGCTCGGGTTCATTACATAAAAATTTATTAACATGAAGTGACAATGAAAGCTCCTGAAGAAAACTTTGAATTAAGGTATACATATATGTAACTGAAGTAGGTACATAGAACTTCGATTCAAGTCCATTGATTTAAGTGTTCAAACTGAAATTGTTAGTCACACCCTGTTACTATTTTTAGTATATAGTATTCGAGTGTATTTGTTATTTTAGCGAATATTCATTGCTTTCTGATTTAAGTGGAATTGTATAGTAGAAAGTCTGGAAAAGCTTTAATTACTTAATTTAGTCTTTCCATATTCTGGTTACGCACACTAAGAGCGAATGTGATCAACAAAATTCTAATCAAGTAAGCAATGTGAGTTAATACTTTTTGTAAATCTATTAAATAACTGCAGATAAAAAAAATGTATCTTCACAAAACCACAACTTAGTTCGAATTCAAGAATATTTCCTTCTGCTACTAATTTTAACAAGTATCACAAAGTACTTAACATTATGCGGACTACGTGTTGATTTATGCCCACTGCGCATGGATTTCGATTGAAATCAAACAAAACAGCAGGACATCAGGCCACAAGCTTTCAATTAATAGACGCGCCTATTTAGTATTAAAATTTAAGATACTTAAACTAAAAATTAAGAAAATTTTAAAAAAATAATTATTTTTATATAAAATGAAATAAGTTTAAATAAGCAATGAGCCAATGTTAGAGTTTCTGAAAGCAACAAAATCAAACTTTTAAAAGCCGTCTTTTGTCTATCTCTTGAACACATTTTTAATGCCAGAAGAAAGACAATATCTTTCAAGAGTATTCTACATTCTATGTATTACAGATTATTGGCATTACGCCTAGATTGAATGCATTAATAGGACATACATGAGCACTTCTGTTCCTTGTCTGCTTAATTGTCAAGAGAGCGCCAATAATAAACGTGATAGCCTAGCAGCGTTGAGTAGAAGAATTTTAATTTAAAAATTATGAAAATAGATAAAAACTTACAAGCTATGAATAATTGCACATTCAAGCGAATTAATGAATGCAGTTGTCGTAATTAATCATACCAATGTGTAACACCTTGCAGCACTGCAGTATCTTCAACTTCGTTCTCAACACCTCGCAGCCATTTACATAAATTACACATTAAACGCTTAACGCAGTACAAAGAACGCAAAACAAGATATAATATGTTGCTATGATGCATTCAAGCACTAACAGCATCCACAGTAGTAAAGACAGTGTAGAGAAGATTTTACTGTAAGGAAGTAAAAAGTACGCCTGCATACTTTTAATAAATATTTAGCAATACATATAAGCTAAGCTGGTTACAGGTTAGAAGTGTCTAGGATTTTAAATTTCAAGCCCGCCCTCAACGAAAACGAGCAAAGTGATCAGATCGTCGGCAGGACTGATAAGAAAAATTAAAAACGTGATACGATTTTCATGTTCTTAAGTAATGTGTAAGTTAAATGTAAATTTTTTCTAGTTTTGCACGATTGATACTATTTATTGCACCATAGGTACTTTATGTATATGTATATGGAACTAATTGAGAAACGCTTTAATCCAGTTTAGTCACAAATTTAGTTCATTTTGTTAGGCATTAACGACTCATACAGGATTTAACAGGTGTGTTTTGCAGTAAAATATTTTTAGAACTTTTTTATTTATCTCATATGTGTAACATTAATAATATATAATCACAAGCAAAATTTTTATATGAACTCATCTCAGTTTTGTTACTAAAATTAGTACAGACCATAAAATCATTTCATGCCTTATAAGACAATCACTTGCGAAGATAGAACATCATCCCATAAACAAGAAAGATACTTCAGTACTTAATAAAGTCTGTACGAAATAAACAAACACGTAGGAATACACTTTCATAGGTACACATTTGTAGCTTAAGTCGTAGGGAAGAATTTTATTATTTTAGAAACCCAAATTTCTTACTTACTGATATCAGTATATCAAAATAACAAATCCAATTTTATGAAATAAATATATGCTAACAAAAAGTTTTATACTCAAGGTCTTTAATATTTCTATTGTATAAATAAGAGAATAAGAGAAGAATATAAGAGAATAAGAGAAGAGCATTTGCTCTATAACAACTGCGTCGCAAGATATGCAAGTATCGTAAAGATATATTTATTGCTGGCTAAGCAAAAAATTCTAATCGATCGAAAACAGTTGTGCCTTAGGAAGAAACTGTTTATGCAACATTAAATTTTTCAGTGGAATGTACGCTTCCACGACTATAACTTATCGCTTATGTGTTCCATAAGCTGGAATACACGGCTGATGTAAGCTTTAATTTATATTTAATGGAACAGTTTCTCGTCAGTTACGGACAAGAACAGTTGATTTGCATACAAATCATTGATTTAGAAAATCAAAAACTAGAGTTTTGGTTTCGACAGAAGTGTGGGTGAATAAAGTGCACACGATAAAAACGAAATTTGTACTTCACAATTTACTTCAATCACTGAAGAAGCTTCATTGTTATAATCGAATATATAAATTTTTAAAATGTCTGAGTTTAAAGAATTTTTGATTTTAAATTCTGATGATCGTACTCAAATTGACAAATCTACCTATATTAAGAAACCAGAAATAGTGGATATTATGATGCGCATCTCCTTCAATTCCGACTATATAACTCCACCGAATTTAAAATATTTCAAGGAACCGAAAGTTCCATTAAATCTTAACGAGGGATTTGAAACATATATTTTTCGAAACCAAAATTTCTACAAAAAGCCGATGAAACAAATTGAGAAGTACGTTTTGGATAATGGCATAACGGTGTTAAATACAGCACATCAAGGAAATACGCAAATCTGCTGTCGTCGATCGGTTCTGGATGCAATAATGAAAACACCATACTTATATGGCAAAAGTTTTGAATGGACTATTTATGCAACAAAGTTTGACAATGTTATATACCTAACCAATCACGACACATATAAACAATTTCGCCGCGTGACTGATTCACATCATTTCAAGTTCAGGCAGTTTTGTCTATCAGGTAATGTGACAGTGTTTGTATGTTGTAAATATGTCTGTATTATAAATATTTTTCTTATGCAGATGCACCAAAAAAAGCAATTGTGTCCGATACACCAATCGACGAAAATATTCAAACATATTGCATTTATCGAACCACTTTAAAAAGTTTTGATTTGATATATTCAGCGGAAGTTGTAGGGATTATATCAGACACGGAAGTTAAAGACTTGTATGTAATTATATTATATAAGTGATTTTTATTAAAAGATATAGTTTTATTTGTATTTTTTTTATGATACAGAAAAAATATGACGGAGCTTAATGCTTGTCGCTTTATATGGATGCGACTTACAACACCTTATGGACCGACTAAAGAAAAGTACCTGCATTGGTGGTTGCAATGTTATTTGGCAAATGTATCCACAATGTATGTAGGATGCAAAACAAGACATGGCATTATTAATGAAAAGCCAAATTGGGTGAATCCATATAAAATTGCTAAAGTGAGCTAGCATCCAAAAGCTAATGCAGTGTAGTTTTTTAATTCTTGTAATTTTCTATTTCTATTTTAGTCAAATTCATGGAACATAAACGTTGGTACTACATTTTTGGAAAAATTCTTAAGAAATATTAAGGAAAAGATGTCTTCAGTTGATTGCCCATACACAGTATATGAATTTCGATTAGAGGGTGCCAATAACTTAATCAAGTATAAAGTACATAATGGCAAATCAAACTTTTCTTTCTTAACTGAACGATATATTAACGAATTTCTTTGCCAAAAATTGGAGAAAACATTATAAGATAATTATTGATTAATATATAAACAAAGTAGAAATTAATTACAAATAATATTTCATATTGTAAAAGACGAAAATTTTGTTATAATCATCCAGCTCCAACAGTCATGTATTTAATTAGCATAATAACCAAAAAATTTAAGATACTTTATTAAAATTGAAGCAGCATCCGCTCAAGCTGATAAGAAAATCTGATAATGAAGCAACACATAGAAAATTCCTCCTTTTTTCTGCTATTGTAAAACTCAATGGATTTCAAAATCAGTAGGAAATTTTTCGATTAATCGCATGTAAAAGTTAATCCGTGTAATTACTTTTAACTACAGGAATGGATTCATCCATTCTCTTAACGGTTTTGCAACAATAGCAAGTGACACATAATGACCACTTAGGCTTCACGGCATGGTTCGATATTCAAACCTGCATATTCCACAAATGAACAACAGCTCAATGCGGTAACTGCAATTATTCAGACTGCAAAACTGCGACTGCCAATATGATTTGAAGCAGCAGTAATGAACGATAATGTCAAAAAGATATTGTGGTCTCTGCTTTTAAGGCAGACCAAAAATTATTTGATGTCCGAAAAATTCTTCATGGAACATTACAAGCCGTTAAAAATTTTCACACGATTTTTTATTGTTAATAGCAGCAGAGATTAAACGTCACGATTAGTTACAACTTTTTTATTTGACACGGAACATTGCACTTTGGCTACTGTTTTCTGCTAACAGTTCATCACTGACAGGTTGGTAAGACCGATTCATCTCAGGTCTTCTGATCATTTTGAGTTAAGCGGCTTCATAATTGATTGTAGCAGCGACAAACAATAAATCGACACTTTGAGAAATGTTAACAATTAACCAAAAGTTAAGATTTTCTAAGTTAGTAACGATTATTGAGCAGCATATTTGTCTATAATATGATACATAATTAATTTTATTTAATTTAATTATATTAACAGAAAAATAAAATACCCAAAATTAAACAATTAAATAAATATTTGTGTTTTTGAACTAATGAGAACATTTTATTTTGCACATTTAGAGTGTTCATAAAATATGGCTTTTGTCCTTCAATTACTCATTTCAATTATTCTTCATCAAATTATTTTTTTTTTAATGAAAAATCATTTAAAGCAATTTATATAAAAATAGTATATATCAGGAGAACAATCATATTCATTCATTCAGCATATTCATTTCCGAAGATATTTTCTAATTGAATTTAAAATAAAAAATTAATCCTTAAATTTACTTTAGATGTACATACCTCAAAATAGGTCATAGATCCTCTTAATCTACAAGTATCATGTAGATTTTACAAGAATTACTGTAGTTCTTTCTAGTCACTAATATAGTTATCTGTATCATTTTTTAATTGAAAAACTTGTAGAAACTTAAGACTTCTCTGCGATTGCCAAGTTTTGTTTTCCAGAAGATTTTTTGGTACTGATTTTTTGGAAATTACTTTTTGACATTTAGCCGTATTATTTATCCGTTAGAAAGAAAGGACTGTGAACCTTTTAAATTGGACTGGATGGATCTAGTTTTTGTCTTTTAAAGATTCTCGCGATAAAAGTAAGGATTATGGCATATGGTTGCCATATTCGCTGACCTACCTTTGCAACAAACTAATTCAAGATATGGAATGGTTAGGTTACAGAACAAAAATTAAAATTAATTCAATTTATTTAAATGAGAAAAGTTTGGACAAACACATGTAAGTTCATATTATTTAAGTTGGAAGCAAATCGAGCGTACAACAAAATCAATTAATTGGAAAACTTTCTTTGGCGTTTTTGATTTATTAAAAGTGAGTTTCTCATTGTCTCCTTTACTTTTGGAATAAGGCAATGACCGACAAATAATCAAACTACTTTTGGTTGCTCAAATTATAAATTCATAAACAAACATTTTTTTTTTCAACTTAAGCTAATTTTCAGCTACTTTTGTCTTTTTGACTTAAACCTACCAAATTGGTTCTTTTTCAATTTAGCAAATTTTTTTTTATGGTTTGGCTTGTATTTTCAGCGTAAAAAATTACATGGTTAATAAAACACTCAGAAGATATGACAAATTGGAAGAAATCTTCTTTATTTATTACTTTTTTTATTTATATTTCCTCTTTTTGGAGATTTTAACAATTTTTTACTGTCAGGTTTAAGATGAACGTACGCTTTCTTGCTTACCTCATTACTTTTGCTTAGACGCACGTTTCCACTTATGTATGTTACTTTAGTAGCCAAAATAATTTAAAAAAATATTTGAAAAACCGTGATTATTGTGTATTCAAGTAATTATTCGTATAATTAGAATTGTATATCGTATTCAATCGAATATCAATGTTTTCAATAAGAAATCTGTGAGATGCCTATAAGGTAGTAATATTTGTTTAGTATTTAGTTTTTGTATATTAGCAACCCAATCATACTAAATTAATTATCATTTTGGTTTTACATTTTTAAAAGTTTCTAAACTGGCGGTACTTGACTCATTTAAGTTTGGAATGAATTCTAAAATCATATGGTCTGAAAAAGAATGTCGAGTGGACACTTTCCACTTTCTTGATAGACCCATGAAGTTTGGCAGTACCGACGATGATATCTAGGACTATCTACGTTATTTCTGAAAGCAAAATCAAAAATTGTATATAAAAACTTTGAAATTGTTATAAAAGCAATTGAAATGATTTCAGTTCTATCTTCAAATCAATATATGTAATCAAATCAATATAAATGATTTCAGTTATATCCTTCTTTCAATCAGAGCAATTGAAACGTGTTCAGTTCTATCCTTTTCTTTAATCATGGCAACGAGATGCTTTATTAATGGATGCCCAATATGTAACAGCAGTACCTTAATTTATATTCAAATCTTGCAAGAACAGCCTCTTGCAATAGAAGTAGAACTACATGTCGTCTGAGTTTGCATGCTTAGTCTGACATTGACATTTTGCCGTCAGTTAATTTATTGACAGTAACTTCATTGCATAGCATGTAAAACGAAAAATGGCAAATGCCAAGTGCGGCTCTCCATCAAGGTGAGTAAAAATGTGAATATTTCTTCCTTATTTGACAGATCGAATCTTTACTAAGGACGCACAATTTCATTTCATGATACACAAATTTGTTAAATTAAATTTTGTTATTTTACTTTTTTAATGCAACGAAATTATATAAAAATTCAATACTTTCTATTGGCAATACTTTCTAAAACCTTTACTTTGAATGAAGATATGTCTTTCTATATAAATTATGTGCTGTATGTATCTAAACCGATGCCATTCGCATACCTTATTCAAAATATTATACTATATACATATGTATGTATAAAGTCTTATATATGTATATACTTTTTGCTGAAAAATGTACCACAACTAGTTGCCAACCTCTGTAGAATACATGTTTGCAATGTTTAATCCAGAATACATAAAAATTTATAAAAACAATCTGTCAATTATTCCTTCAAAATAGTCTGGTCTTGTGTTGATATATGTCCAGACATTTACTGCTGCTATGCGACATAAGTGAAGCAGCTGGACTATTCAAATCAGAATACTGTATTTCCCATTCCAGTGCTTAATGCGTGTTTAATGCTTGAATATTGATAAAGCATTTGCGCACAGGAAAACGTCTGCATTCCTTTAATCGTCATGGAGCATGCATTGGATTTAGTTTAACTGCTCTGTTAAGTTTGTACAAACCCACATGAAAATATATGCAACGATGTTAAATTTTCATTGAAAGGATGTGAAACCATTGCTGAAGATTGTTAATGTTGACGTCTGACATCTGATCGACAACTTTATTTGAATTAAATGTGTTTATTTGAGATGTCCTGACTTAAGCATGTTGAAATGACAAGAAAATTGTTGATAAAAATTGTAAAATCATATTTTTCAATAATTATAATTACTCATTAACTTATTTTAATTTAGAGATAAAATATTTATAGTGTTTTTAAGTATTTCAAATAACCACATTTGCTTATTTGTAATCAATATTTTTATAAAATTCAAATCAAAATTTTAATTTGTTTAACTAACCACATGTGAACATTATTAGTTTCACAAAACGTCTATAATTTTATTCTATTTAATTTTATATTTTTTTTTATTAAAGTTTTTATCATTTATTCTATTTAAATGAATGAATTGGAAACAGACAATTTTGCAATTGGCAAGGTAATTGCGAATTTTTGTTATAATTCACACGCATTTTTGATATAATTTACTGGATTTAGTGTATTTGGGTTCCTGAAAGTGTTTAATGTGGTCAAAATAAGTTCATATTACTTCCAGCCGCACCTTAATCTCACAAATTGCATTTTGAGCCAGTTGGTTTCAATGATAAAGCATAAAGTACACAGCAGTAAGTTGCTGGCAACATGTTGCTGCATGTGTGGCGTATTGGCTTGGCGCTACTGTTTACGTTTGAACCTTGCAAAAAGTTAAATTCCTAGACTGCTGTGAGTTACGAGTTCATTAAAATACAAATGACATAAAAATTTTTCACTTAAGTTTGGTAAATTATTAATGTACACAATTTCAGTATAATAAATTTTATAAAAGCAATTAGTGTGTCCTTCAGTATTTTGAAATCCAAACAATCATTGGAATGTGGTCAGTGTACATTTTTATTAAATCAGACAAATGCAAGGAAAATTGACAAAAACCAGTGCGCAAGCATTCGAAAAATTAGGAACATTCTAATTTTTCATTCATTCATTTCAATTAGGAACATTCAATATAGTTTCGCTGTCATTCTGTGAAATCTTTAATAAAAATTAGGTCTTAGAAATAAATTGATTCAAAAATGAATATAATGGAAATTTCACGAACAGTTTGTCTAATAATGAAAAACCACAGGGCTTATATTATAGTTATACTCCACCTATAATATTACCCAACAAAAGGTTCTTTGCTTAATTATTCTAATTTTAAGTGGGTTTGTATATACTGGAGTCAACTTTAGCTCATCAAACAATTCTAAGCTCTACATTACTGAAGGAAAAGCTCAAATCAAAATTCAATCAAAATCAAATATTTTGAATGTAAAACTTTATTGAATAAGGAAAACAAACTAAAATACTTTGAAGCAAAAATGTTGAGAAGACAATATCTAAATCATAGTTTTTTTTTAACATTTCCAACATCCAACTTTTATGTAAGATAACAGAGTAGCGCTAAATAGCGTAATTGTTAGGAATATATCTCATTTCTGTGTTGATGAAAGACACAATGAGCACAACATGACCATAGCGTGAAAATGCCATGTTAAATATTATAGCCTACACGATAGTTCAGAAATGTCAGATATCATCCAAACAATGCAAAAAACAGCAATAACCCACATTGATTAAATTATTGTTGTATGGGCAACCATAGCATTTGCTCTTACAACTCGAGTCAGTCCGTAAGATGTGTTGGGCACATTCTTAAACTAAGAAGATATTTGAGAAATGTGAATTATTTGTGCCAACCGTCCTACTGCAAAAAAATTTCATATCCCCAGAAATTGCTTCAGCTTTTTTCAGTTCAAGTATATATTAAACAATTTAACCCAGTTATAAATTGCATCAGTGATCTACTTTCTGTGGAAATTAATTTTGTTTTCATGTTTAAAACCTATCAAATTTCTTCAATGGTTTAACTATTTCATCGGCCGTAATTTGCATTCGAGAGGCAATTTCAGTGCTGCCACTTTCTTTATTTTATTAAATCGAACAACCAATAAAAGAGACCATAATCAGGTAGAACTCATTCAACTTCAGCGGTGTTCCAATGGGCAAATAGTAATTTATGACATTAGATTTAACGATGCTTTATTGTGAAGTTTAATGGCCACAAGAATCTTAGAAAGAAATATGAAAAATAAATTTGAAGGGAATTATTCTTCTAAATTGAATTTTTGATCTCAC